AATTAATTTTATAGCTAAATTCACGTCATCTAATGTTAACAAATAAAATATTACTTAAAAATAGCGACTTCTACATTAATGGGTTCATGTATATGTATCTAAACACTTCTATATTAATACATTTTTTAATATTTTTCAAGAATCACATAATAACAACAGAAGTGTTTAAATCATGCGATTTCTCATATTTATAAACGACATTTAAAGCTTTTTGAGGTTTGAGGAACAGACAATAATTAACAAACGGAAAACAGTGTTTTTGAACCCTCTATGCTAAAAAATGTAGCAATAAATTTGTAACTTGTAACAATCATTTTGGTTATTATATGCTATAATTGCACAAAATTTCGTAAACCTAGCTAAAGTATTTGTAGAGCTTTAGACATTTTTATAAAAAAAAATTGCTTTATATATTTTTGCAATAACTTTCAAAATATTCAATAAAATTAAACAAAAATTTTGGAGCAAAAAAAATTAATTATAAAATTACTGCGCAAGATATGAGCAAGTAAAGTAGTTCTTTTATGTAGAATTTAGTAGTTTTTTAAAGTAGATGTTTTGCGCATGAGCGGGAGAAATCTGAAATTTTTTTGAATATATNTATATATATATATATATATATACAGTAAAGAAAAGAGAAATTCACTAAGAAATATTAAGAATTATTCTTGGTTTTGCTGATAAATGTATGGTTTACTGGTTGCCCCCTTATTATTCAGCAAAACTAGTAGCAAAAACGCACACGTATCTATAGTTTCATTAATGAAGTCTGCATGTCTGTAGGCCAAGCAAGGTGTACATTTTTTTTAAAAAATAAACTTATTTCATATGTAGGCAAGGCGAACTTGTAAGGCAATGACCTAACAAGGTCATGGTCTATCTTACTCATTTGCGGTCGATATTGAGTGTAAAGAGGCCTACTGGGAATTGCGTGGAATTCTTGATCCTACATTAGTAAACCTAAGGCAATAGGCGCGCAGTTGGATAACTGAATTCTTGTCACATAACAAGCTGCATGTGAATGAAAGAGTTAAATACAAAGGTTAGATAACACATTAAGTATTTTTATAATTATTCTTTTTATAAGAAAAGGAAAATAAATTAGGATTATAAATATAATGGATATAAAAAATGCTTGCAAATTACTATTTCATTTATGTATAGTGCGAAAAATTAAAAAAGGAAAACACTAATAACTTTTGATCTAGAGATCGGATTTTGCCGAACGAGATGAATATTGATGTTTAATTATTCTGCGGGGCTGACGATATTTTAAAATACGAAATCAAATACAAAAGTTTACTTTCTCTAATTATACTTTATATTGAGTGGGTTTAAATTCTTGACCCTCATAATAAGGGATTGGCTACACATTGGAAAATATGGTGTCAAAAGAATCAGAAGAGTGTTAGAAACTTAGGGCTTCTTAATGTTAATGTTACTTTTCGCAATGAAAACTAAAAAAGTCGCATTTTATAAATTTTAATCTCTAAAAATTTCTTGTATGATTTCGTTCAAATTTTGGATTTATTTATTTCAATTTAAGAGAGGGGCTAGTTTGGATATTTTTTTTGCAAATTTATCAAAAAAACTAATTAATTAAAATTTTGAACTCTTGAAGTATTTTTGTTTAACAACAATTTGAATGCTAAATGTAGATTTAAAAAGTTGTTTAAGTATTTTATAATTATTTTTAAAAAAGGTTGTTTTTGTCCGTACTGGCGGGTTAGTGTGAACAAACTATAGGCCTAGTGTGGACAATCTTGATAATTTGTTAAGTAGTCAACTATTACAACTTAGAAAGCTATATCTAAAGCTAAATTAATTTCCATCTAAATCTTACAGGAGGATAAATTTTGACATTCATTAATTGAAATACTAAAATGTAATAGAGTATTTCAATATACTAAAGACATCTTGAAAGCAAATCAATACATTTGAAAACCATTTTTAATTTGCTACATATTTAATTTGATAAATATTTTGAAATTATTTTTTATCGCATCAAAAAAATAGAATTGTCAATTTTACAACTGTATTGTTATGGAATCCTTGTGGTTTTAGCAGTCACTAGAAATGGAAGTTTGGTAACAATCTTTTCTTGATATTTGAGAAACACATTTTTTTTCTGAAAAAAAAGGAAGATTCATGATTAAAAAAGCTATATCCTTCTTCATACATCATAAACTCCAACTTCCACTTTATCAACATAATGTATGTACAACACTGTTTTTTATTTAAAAAAATAAATTTAACTTGCAGGAAGTCGTTAACTCCTTTTGAGTCAGTCTTGTCAAGAAGTTTCAATTTATTTTAATCAATCAGATATCACTGAGAATTAAAAAACCTAAAGTTGATAACTTATAAATGAAAGTAATCGGCTTAAAGCATGTTTTCACTAGCCCCACCAACACGTGTCTACATTAGCCCCTCGAAAACTTATGTTTGTTTATGCGTCATACTGAGTAATTGAAAAATATATAGAGCAAAAGTTAATATTAAAATAGGTAAAAAACCATATCATCTGTAACATATTATCACCTTCAGTTGAAATTCTGAAAATGAAATATGTTAATATAAGAGTTAATATAAGATATGCTAATACAATTTTAAAGTTACTTTCGCACCGTAAAAACCTTTTTTACAAATTTCTACTAAATTGTTCACCGTGTGATTACACAACTGTACATTCAAGTGTCCATCAATGCTTCCAATTTACGATATCTCACAGAAGAGATTTGAATTATAAATGAAAAAATTATTCAAGATGTCTACACTGGCCCACTTCTCCCAACATTGTTAAAAATCATGAAAAAATTTAAGTACCTCATAATTTAAAAAATGTTGTACTACAATTAAAATAAGAAAATATTGAACAGTTAAAAAGACTTTTTGTTACGTGGAATTCTCTTTTGATAAATAAGTTTTATAATTGTGTATGAAGGCCGGGATAGCCTGTTTGGCAGGGCGCTAGACTCATGTCTGTGAGAATGCGAGTTTGAATCCAGCCGGCCGAAGACTACCAGTGTAGTAAATGGTGATTGGTGCACGCTAATTCTGTCGGGTCACTAAGTTCTCATAGCAAATCAATACTTCTGGGGGTACTGAATTAGACATTGATCGTCAAAATTAGGTTATTCTCGGTCAAAATTACGATCTGTGGACAAACGAATGGATGTATGAATGGGTCCCCCCTATAAACGGGTACGACGTATGGGTGTGGCAGAAGTCAAATTCTTGGCTATAGATGGCGCCACTGGAAGACAAGAACATTCGCACCCCCTCTGCCTTAATGGGTGACGACAACAACAATTGTGTATGGAAATTATTTAAATATTTTAAATAGTTTTAGATACATAGTCAGGTATACGAAGAGGAAATTTAACATTACGTGGCTCAAACTTTCGACCGCTTTCTTGCCTAAACTATTGGGACCATATTTTCCATATTACATTTTTCTTTCATATTTTGACAATCAGGAATCTTTTTCCGTTTAAAAAAGGCATGTTTTTTGCAGATAAAGTACGTTTTGCGTTTGATTTCATAATTTAAAACGTCATAAAACAAATGTTTCTTATCGAAACACTATGGAAAATAAAAATCTCGAAAAATTACGGTTAAAAGTAATGGCACTAAGAGTATCCTAACTTTTTACAATAAAATCTATTTTTTATTATATTTTTTTATTGTTATTCATATTTTTCATTATTCTTTACATTTTTATTTAGTCTAAAGGAAATTACAAGAATAAAATAGAAACTTAGCAGTTAAATTCAACTAAATATGCTGTAAACTTAAAAAATAATTGGTTTATATTTTACTTATATTCTGTAGAATTTTTTTACATAATGTTTATTTAAATTTACTCTTTCCGTTTTTTTTTTATAAATAGTTAAGTTGATTGAAAGCTAATCATTTTTCTAATAAACGATGATAATCAAAAACTAGAAGACTTAGTTTTCTTTGTGGAAAAATTTAGTTTCTTTTTTTATTTGTGGAAAATGATAAACGTTACTTTTTACACCTACAATTATAATTCTTTATTTTTTTAACCACTTACAATAAAATAAAATTTGGATACAAAGAAAGAAACGAGTGATTTTATCACCGATGAAATGGATGTTATTTATTTATACGCCAGTTTCAATCATTTTTTCTTTAAAAGATCATTTTTTAAATATTGTCTTAGATAAAAATAAAGACTGTTTTATTTATTACGTAATATTTAATTTATTTATGCTATTTACTTAAAATTTATTATCTTGTTTAGTTTTTTTAAATAACTGTTGCTTTCTGCAGTAAAAATAACTGATTATTAACTGTTACTGGGATTTAAGGTTTATGCTATTTCGTGCAAACGAAGCTTCCTTGTGGAAAAATTCTATATCAATTTATTCACTCACAAATACTTCTGTATAACTTCTTTGTCAATTTCTGAAAAGAATCGAATACAAATAAATAGATGATGTTATAGCTTATTTTAGGACTATTTTTTTCATTTATTTGAATATAATATTTAATTTATGTTTTCTTTAAAAGATTGCTCATTCATTAAAAACTGGAAAGGCAGAAATTAAAGACAATGCAGTAAACAATGAATATTGAATGAAAATAACTACTGAAAATTACTTGAAAATGAAATGTTATTTTTAAATAAGGGATATTAAATAAAAATAAAGACTATGTATTAGATAGTAAAAATTAAAAGTGCTACTCTACATTAAATAATGAAGAACTATACATTAAATAATGAACGCAGAATTAAAATAAAGACTATACATTAAATAAACACATAATGCAAATAAAGACTATGCATTAAATAAAATGTAATAACATAATTATATACGCGTTGGAGCGTGTTAATGCCTTCAAATGCATCGAAGAATTCATTAACAAGTGCACCTGTCAAGATAATAAGCCTCCGGGATGCTTTCCTCTCGCGCCTCCGCTCCGTATCCCACGTGGTTTAACCTCAAGAATCTTCTGTTTATTTCCGCTATAAGAGCATGGAGAAAGAGTGGGCAAGTGACGTCTCATTACGTCATAATAAGAATCCACCTCTTATGCCCTTTACTACTCAACACTAAACTAACCGGAACTTGGTCTTGGGTTCACATTTGTTCATACTCGCCTTCTCTGAAGTTAAATTAAAATACAGACACCACTTTCCATGTTTTATGCGATTAGAGTTATTCCAGATACAGCGCGATGAAGTTGTTATCAAGTTTATGCCTGTTTGTTGTTTACATCTTATTAAAAAAATCTGAAGGAAAGATCGTGTATCTTAATGGTACAGAAGTATATAATGGTCGGCCGAAAGCTGGAAATATTACGATCCCCTCTCAGAGATGGATTAGTGTTTTTAATCCAAGGAATATAAGTAATCATTCTGGCCTTGATTCAAAGCCTGTGTCGCTCACAGTTCATAGAAAAAATGACGAGGAAAAAGTAGAAGAAAACAAAAAAGTAGAAGAAATTAAGAAAGATGAAGAAATTAAAAATAATGAAGGAGAACAGACATCGAATACAAATTTGACAACAAGTAAGTAAATCATTTATATCGACTTTATTACGCAAAATATCTTAATACTTTTAATAATAATTCATAAACCATGCATTAACAAGCTAACAATTAACTAATAGTAAAATTTAGCAAAGTGTTTCTTATTAATATAGACTCATATATGCTTATTCTTAAATTATTTTTAAAAAAATAGAGAGAGAAATTCACTACACGCAGAAATAAGATCGGAAAAATTATGCACATTTATATAATTCTCTCTCAAAATTAAATTTGAAATAGGTTTCTCAGGTGAAAAAATCAATAGTTGGACAATGTTAAGAAAATAGTATGATTTTAATAAAACTATCATTGTTAACTTAATAGCAACATTTTTATGTCAAAGACTTATCTCTGAAAAAATATTTAGAAAACTTAGCCTCGAAATCGCATATTGAGTATTAAATTGTTTTGATATTCCAAATATATGAAATATTGTTTGTTGTTAAAATATAGACTAAAGCTTGCAGTTGCCAATTTCTGTATATCATCGAATACAGTTACGTGAATTAAAAGAAGAGCAATAAAAACAAAATGATATTTTTTTACTACTTAAATTGGTAAAATGTTATGTCATTAAAGAACTAAAATATTGTGGTAGTATAGTAAAGCAGAAAAAAACTATAACTTTCAATAATTCGTTATTTACGGTGTATTCTAAAAAATTCAATAAATGAGAAAGCTGCATTCTTTAACACAAATTATTGATTAATATTCTCGTTAAACATTTCTTTCTCACGTTCTCGCTTCATTTTTCTGACGAAACATTTTCATTTTAATAAAAATTATGGGTTAATCTTTTCGATCTCATCATGTGTGGGGGAAACAGCTACTTTCCATTGTAAAAGATATCCAACATTCCTTGGGAATGCTTTTTTTTTCAATATTGCATCAAAGTAATTAATAAATAAAAGGGAAATCTATTAGTTCTTCTTAGTTATTTTAGAAGTTATTTTTTTAACTATGATAAACTTTTACTATAAAAATTCACTAAACTATCTAGAATATGATATTATGCAACATACATAGGCCTAAAATGGGTAATGCGTTATGATTAACTTGTAAAACTTTTATCAAATAATTTATTAAGTACTCGTCGTATAGATTAGGAATTTAAAATAAAAGAAATTTTTTTTCAGCTTTCAAATCCTTATTTCACTTAGTTTCTTAAATGTTTATTGTGATGTTTTTTAGAAAAAAAATCAAACTACTTCCACCCCAATTGTGAGCCGTTGGCTCCATAAGAATTAAAAAAATTGGAATTTTTCTTTTCCTTCTTTCTTTCTTGTATCAATGATTATCTCCATCTAACACGAAATGCGGAGGTTCTAAAACCGCACAAGAACGACTGAACTATTTGTTTACAAAGTATCGTTGAAAAACAACGTGATAAGTTCAAATAAAACAATTGAAATACCTGCAGCTGTTTCGATACTATAAACAAATATCAACATCATCATAGCCATTTCGCCATATGAGAGGAAATGAAAAACTGAGTGGAAGAAAGATCTAAGTGACATTTTTAGAAAAAAATAAATCGTTTGGAAGGAAAAAAAAATTTTTTTTTTTTACATATTTAAATTTGCAACGTTTATTTGCTTTGCTAAGTTCTTAATTCCAAAGATCTACACCGTGGGTAACCACAACGTGGGTAATTCGAATGAATTCGTGGTAAAACACTCATTAAAAATTCTCTCCGATAAGAGTTATGGTCGAACTGATGTTCCCCAAAAGTTTATGGTATTACCTCTTCACAAAAGCTAAAACCATTGAGGCTGGGCAAAGCAACAAAAGTGAGTAACGTATGAACTTATAAGTTAATTTACTTAAATTCACAAATATGTCCCCGAAATCATTCATCCTATTAGTTCTCCAAGATTCATTCGATATTCAAACCAAAGTTATCGTGCTCGCAGAAAAAAAAATTCTGATAAAATTACCCAACTGCCTAGACATAACATGCCTAGCAAACCAAACCATACCATAACTCTGGTAATAAAACCAAAATGTACGGTCTATAAACCAATCATTTAGTAATTTTTCAGTTCATACGGTAACGGTTTTATGGAATTTCTACTTTTCAAAATTATAGTTCGTATTACCCCACATTTAGTAACAAATACAAAACTTAAAAGTAAATTTAACCAAATAAACGGTTTCTATGTCATACTTTAAGGCATTATGACAAAATTAAAAAAATTTACCACATTTACCAAATTTTATCACATTTTGTAAAACCATATTTTATTGTTTATTTCACCAAAATCATTACAAAAGCGCTCCGGTAGAAATTATCGAATGCCCATCATAGAGGCAGAATTACGGTAACTTTATTCATATTCTGGTTGTTTTGACCATACTTTTTTTTCTCAGAGTGTAGAAAACTGAGTACTGGTTAATTTTCTAGTATAACTTAGGGTTTAGCTCGAATTATTCCAAAATATCTTTTCACCTTCTGTATGCTTATCAAATACTTTTTACTGTATTGAAACAGCGATATGTCTTTAAAATATTTTCGTTGTCGCTGTTCAATCCAACACAAAAATTATTCTTTTTCCTGAATGTAAATCTTATTGTAAAATATAATATAATAAATATAATTTATAGTATCTTATTGCAAAATACAATAAATATAATATTACATCATATTGTAAAATAAACTAAATAATGTAATATAATATTGTAAAATATACTAAATATAATATAATATAATCTTATGGTAAAATATAAATTTTAAGTAAATATGTTACGTAAGATATAATTATTCGATTGACTTTTTTTGCAATTGCCAAGCATATATGCTGCGTTTTCAAGATCAAGATTATATGGTTTAGGGTCATACTTGATGACAGTCGACAGCACCTGTTTCCTAGCCTTAATCGGCCTTAATTTTATATCTTTTCATTTTATGGACATTTTGGCATATAATACAATTAAATTGAGGAATTACATGTCCTATACTGGAACAAAAAAAAGGTTGAAAATTGTTTGTGTTTCAAATTTAAATAAATATCATGTAGTAAATTATATATGTATAAAGGGGTACATTAACGAATCGAAAACATTTTATTAACTATCTATTTTCATACTTCTTCTTGCTTCAGATAAAAAAAAAAACTGCTCGTCATATTATTTATTTTATTATAATCTCATGAAATATTTATCATTTGTGAATAAATGAGACAGTTTCATTAAAAATAGAAAAGAATCAGAATACAGATTTTTACATTAACTTAATTTTTATAACGGACTAAATGTTATTTTTCATGCGTCCTAATCTTTATATTTGTGCAAAAACTTTAATGTAATCACTGTAAAACAAATATACTACAAATTTATGTTTAAAAATATGATTCCATGACCGTTGTACTTTAAATTCTTCATAATATAGAATTAGATTTTATGAATGAACTGCAGACCTTAGAATACTCGCATAATAATTTTCGCATACCATCAAACATGTATTTAAGTTTTGAATATATTAACTGTTAAGCATACAATTGTTAACGTATTAAAAAGTTAAAACGAGCCAATTTGCAAAATGCATTATTATTTTATAGTACAAAAATAAAATGATGATCATAGCTTGGAATGGTTCAATTTTTGGCAAAACTACACAAATAATTAATAATTAAAAAAATATCTATNAATCAATAGTTGGACAATGTTAAAAATTTTTTATTATTTTAATAAAGCTATCATTGTTAACTTAATAGCAAACTTTTTTTGAAAAAAAATCATATCTGAAAACATATTTAAATAGACTTGAAATTGAATATTGAGTATTAAATTGTTTGATATTACAAATAAGTGAAATATTGTTTGTTAAAATATAGACCAAAGCTTGTAGTTGCCACCTTCTGTATATCATCGAATACAGTTACTTGAATTAGAAGAAGAGCAATAAAAACAAAATGATAATTTTTTTACTACTTAAATTTCTAAAATGTTACGTCATTAAAGAACTAAAACAGTATGGTAGTATATTAAAGCAGAGAAAAATTATAACTTTCAATAATTTGTTATTTACAGTATATTCTAAAAAATTCAATAAGTGAGAAAGCTATATTCTTCAACACAAATTATTGGTTAATATTCTCGTCAAACGTTTCTTTCTCACATTCTCGTTTCATTTTTCTGACAAAACATTTTCATTTTAATAAAATTATGTGTTAATCTTTTCGATCTCATCATATATCGAGGAAACAGCTAATTTCCATTGTTAATAATATCCAACATTCCTTGGGAATGCTTTTTTTCCAATATTGCATCAAAGTAATTATTTAATAAAATGGAAATCTATTCGTTTTTCTTCGTTGTTTTAGAAGTTATTTTTTAATCATGACAAACTTTTACTATAACAATTCACTAAACTATCTAAAATATGATATTATGCAACGTACATTGAAGGAAAATGGGTAATGCGTTACAACTAACGTGTAAAGTTTTTATCAAATATTTTATTAAGTACTCGTCATATAGATCAGGAATTTAAATAAAAAGAAAAATTTTTTCAACTGTTAAATCCTTATTTCACTTAGTTTCATAAATGTTTATTGCGATGTTTTTTGGAAAAAAATAAAACTACTTCCATCCCAATTGTGAGCCGTTGGCTCTATAAGGATTAAAAAAATAGAAATTTCCCTTGCTTTCTTTCGTTCCTTCTTTCTTGTATCAATGATTATCTCCATCTAACACGAAATGAAGAGATTCCAAAAGCGCGCCGGAACAACTGAACTATTTGCTTACAAAGTATAGTAGAAAAACAAAGTAATAAGTTCAAATAAAACAGTTGAAATGCCTGCAGCTGTTTCGACAAATACAGAACTTAAAAGTAAATTTAACCAAATAAACGGTTTTTACGTCATACTTTATGATATCATAATAAAATTACAAAATTTTATCACATTTCCTAAATTTTATCACATTTCGTGAAACCATATTTTATTGTTTATTTCACCAAAATCATTACAAAAGCGCTC